GGGTCGCATTAACGCCTGATCAAAAAATTCCCAAAGGATCGAGGGGGATCATCGCGACACTCATTTCAGGTGCAAGAAACTCAAAATCTTTGCGAGCACAACTGTGTCAGGCCTCAAACTTGCCGTTTTTTGCTAAATATTATTAGATAATGGAAGTGTTTGAAAAGATACTTTTAGAAACGGTATAAATAGCCTGTTTCTGGATGGCTGTTTTAAATTTCTTATGTCCAAATACAGTGGTCAAAAGATGTTCCGCTTTTTCCTTAATCTCTGTGCTGGATAAATTTCTTGATGTGCATGCTTCTGGCAAAGATGCGGTTTTCTGTTCACAAGCAAACATATCCGGTAATTTCGATTTAGCAGTTGATGCTGAAACAAAAATTTATCAATATTTTTAGTTGGATTAGGAATAAACGATAGTCAAAACTAGCGAAATATTAGCAATTTCTGTAAACTGGATTAACTAATACTTAGTCAAAAAACTAATATCATAGGGAAGAAAAAAGTTTTTTAGATTATCTACATAAAATAATGTTTTTCATAAGTTTTTGGAAAAATAATTGGCCAGTGCACCGACTGCTGGTGCGAAGATGCTTTTTTTCGTACGGTTACCTGCAAGTCTTTGTTGCTGACGGCACTGTTTTTTTTCCGGCAGATACTTCCAGCTAAAAGAATTGAGACTGGCCACCAAATTGACCGTGAGAAAACATTCCCTTAAAATTTCAGCTCCCCACCTTTTCTGGTTTCCGTGTTAGCAACTGATCCGCAAAACATGTGGGAACCACCTGGGTAAGAGTGCCCACTCTGGTGACAGGGGTCCGTCCATACACATAGACCAAAGTTTCAGTCCCCAAAGTTTCAGCCATGTAGCTTTTGTAGGGCTCGAGATGAAAAGTCGGCACACACACACACACACACACACACACACACACACACATACAAACATACACACATACACACAGACAACCCCTAAGCAATATGCGTTTTGACATTGCATAAATGTAAAAAAATACAGAGTAGAATTACGAATATGAAGGACAGTAACCTAAAGCTGATGACGATGATGGTGAAGTTTTTGATGATGATGACGAAGTTTTTGACGACGATGACAACAACGGTGTTTTTCGTTTCTCTGTTACTTTTTTCGCACCATCTGTATTATTTTTCTTCGCTGGATGCATCAGAAAACTCCATTTCTCCGCATCATTTTGCAGCACTTTCGGCGGTTTGAAATCATCCTCATCGTCACTCAGCAGCAAAATTTCTGCAGTTATGAAAAACGCTAACTGACTGGTAATTTTTCATCCCCTATTTTCTACTTTTGTTAAAAATTTTTACAGAAATGTTAAGCCAAAATTTTTTTGCCAAAATCGAAGTATCCTTGCAAAAACCATATAAGTGGGCCAGCGGCAAAAACCATATAAGTGGGCCACAGAATTCAATAGCATTTCTATCAATTTTGAGGGAAACTACAAAAATTCCTTATCATTTTGCCCGTACCACATTCTTCACCCCTATCAGCTCGTTTATATCGGAAGTAGCTATGGAAAAGCACTGAAAGCTGGCGATTTTCGATGCTACGTTGTTTTTACTCGATTACTTCCGAGTACCACCAGAGTCTTCCAAAGAAAGTGAATACGGAGGGGATTTTGGCTACAAACACAACTGGAAACATCCCTGACAAAGTTTTAAAAAAATTCGAGCGAAACATGAAAATTTTTGAACATTACCATCTGTAAAATTTGCCATTCCACACAAAAAGAGCACTCTGATCTCACGGAAAATCTATGTCCTCGCATTCATGGAAACCTGAAAAAAAACGTTTTTTCAAATTTCAAACACATTTTGCTGATTATTTTTAGAAACAAATAAAGTGTCACGTTAGACAACCTGGATTATCCTCAACATCTCCTAGTTCATCTCTTAGTTCTCCAGTCACGGGGAGGAAGGAGGAGGGGGTTTTTTGCCTCCCCCC